TCGCGACGACCTGCTCCCTTGAACCAACTGTTGAAGTTTGAGTTTGCAACACAAGGACGGAGACAGAGTTATGCATGTGCATGAAGCTTGACATGGTCGACACCAGACTGTACAAAGTCGTCGTAGCGGCAATTCCCCCGACCTTTACCCGCACGAGTCAGGAGTGAGTGCAGAAACCTAGGGGCCACTTCTCCCCCCCGTCCAAATCCACCATCAGGGCAGAGACAACTCCAGAAAGTGGGTTTGCGCTCGCCCAAATCCCGAGGGATCGAACCGAAAACCGTTTGTTAAGTTCCCGAGAGGCAGCTCCCTGTCGCTTGGAGTCGGAGGTCACGACAATCAATGCTGATCAACGTTTACCTCCTCCTCCTCCTTCCGTGCAGGTATTTTATTCGTGAAAAAAATGAAGTAGTTGTCATTGAAGTGGTGATTCCATTGCTGAGACACGAGCACTCGATTGAGCCCATCTAGAAAGGAAGCCATTTAGATGTGTCATTTCCGAGCTTGTGCTGGACAGTTGGAGTAGCTATAGAAAGGTGGGGGTGAGAGATGCAAAGGGACAATCGACCTCGGAGGCTCGGACAACAGTTTCAATAGTCGATGGTAGTTGCCAGATAGTCTCCGGCGGCAGTTACGATGATTCATGGTTTGCTCTACACGGTAATGCATTGAACATTTCAGCCTGGGGTTCTCAGGCCATCGACAGGTTTAACCATGAAATGGGAGGATTCTCGCCAGGGGAAAACTCTTCCACTGGGAATCATTCCCGATCTTCCAAGTTTTCTCTGACCAAACTTTGTGCCTGGTCTGACTTCTTTTTTGGCACAAGGTTCAATCTGGCAAAATCTCCGTTACTATCAGTTCTCCCTCGCAATTTCCCCTCCCTCCGTCATTCTTGTCCTAAGTTCTAAAGCCGCAGTCCGAAGCCCAGAAGTGACGGTGCAGATCTATCTGATCGCCATACTTGAGACAAACCCGCCTCCGGAGAGGGGCTCCTCCCTCCCCCAAACCGTTAAAGGAGCTGCCCATCGTGAGGTGAGGCGTACTCTTAACCGCAAGCTTGAATCGCACCTATGCTGAGAATCGTTAGTCACTCCGACCACCTTCAATTCTGGACATGAACAAACCACTGAACAGCTGAACTGAGTTCTTGTTGATATGAATGACAATAATCTGCAATTGACAAAAAAAAACCGAAATTAAAATCAATTAGAGCCGCCCCAATTCCACCAACCGCCCGGGCAGTCTTCTGGGAGACCCTCTTTTTGCGTCGGTTTTCCGGGTGCGCGCCAGAGTCCACTTAGTGTCGAGACCCCCACGAATAACAGCTCAACGATCCTCGATAGCTACAAGGAATGATCAGAGACAAGTGCTCTGTGCCTCTGCCTGGGGAATCCTTGGCTCTGCTTCGCCGGATTCCTTCTCGTCTTCTTCTAGATTATGACTTGGGGGGGAGAGGGGACTTGGATGCCAATCCTTGTTGCTTCTGGGCTCTTGGTCTCCGTTTTAACCGGCCGTAACGGACAAGGGCCATGCCATCTGCATGGGTCCGCTCAATGCTGGGAAACAGGCCCTGCTCCACTTCACGGAAAATCCGACCGCATCCCGGCCCTGCTGCTAAACAAGACGATAAGCTGGTGGAACCGCGGTGGTTCCCTCCCTAAACGTTAGCCCTTGGCGAATTCGTCCGAGTTTGAACAGCCCGGCCGAAACTGTGTCGGCATGGTAAGAGTGGGAGAGAACGGTCTTTTCGTCCGGGGATTTGCCCATTTTGATCCTTGCTGGCTGGATGACTGGTTAGTTCAGTGAGTTTGCTTTCCTTTTTTTTTCCCTCTTCCCCATTCACTCTATTTTTGCTGCTCATTTCCGTCTTCTGCTGTGTCCTGACCAAAGGTCAAGACAACGAGTGATACTCTATGCACATCAATGCTACTTTGATTAGCCGCTCGCGAAGGTTTCCCCTCGTGTTGGGTCCGTGTTGCTCCGGCTCGCAATTGCTTCTATTTCGAGCTAATTCGTCGCGAGAGGAAGAATCGCAAGTCCGGAGGGAAGTCCTTCAACCATGAGGCGACAACCACTGAGAGTATACCTCGGTTTGGGCCAGTGTGCTTTTCGAGAGGCGGCTCACAACAACTGAACTCTTAGTCCTCGCTCGGACGGCATCCACCGGCCGATCTCCCAGTAGTCAAGGCATTTGCAGAATCCTACCACTAAACTACTACGTACTACGGTAGGTCATGGAAAGGGACGCATTGTCCAGACCAAGCCAAACTAAGGTTATCGCCAACTGCCGTCCCGAAAAAAAAAATAAGAGAAGACCAAGAAGCGCAAAAAAAAAAAAAAGAAAAAGATTATTTCTTGCTTGGGTCTCGGATTCTCGAGCGCCGCAATCATGACTAACGGGAATCTCAAGGTTGCAGAGAGCTGGATCTCTTCCGAGAGGATCCTCTTGCGGGGCGCCGGTAGGGAAACCTAATTATCACCAGAGCCAGCCCGACAGGGTAAAAACAAGAGAGCGCGCTGGCAACAAGCCCTAAGCCAATGCACAGAACAAGAAGGGACCCCGGGGAGAGAGGGACCGTAACTCTGTAAGAGCCTAGGAGGGGCGCGCTGACGATATCTGATACCCAGTTGGATAAAAGTCTAAATCCTAATTCTCCCCATCCATGATGATTTCCGTGGCATGATTCGATCGGAGGGAGGAGGGGGGGGGGGGCGATGATGAAGGGTCGATGCTTCGTGCCTGTTCTCCTGGTCCCTCCCAGGCTCTCTCCCTCTCCTCCATCTCCGGTCCAGGCTTTTCCCCTTGAACCCCCTCCCCTCCCCGTTGGCTATATCGATTGTCCCATCAGTGTCCGTGTATCCGCGGAACGCCAATGATTTAGGCGTCATGGTGGAGCGGGAGCGAAGTTCACCCGAAGACGGAGATTCACTAAGTGCCGAAAAGCAAAACAAATGATAATTGAGGTGAGACAGTTGTAAATAGCCAGAGAGAGTGAGAGAGAGGGTGTGTGGTCACGGTATGTGGGAAGGAACCCGAAGCACTACTCATGGATGGATGGATGGATACCAAACTGAGTTGACCGGTACGGGTGACCCCGTGCCTTTCGGTACTGATCAATCTGTCTGTCATAATAATAGTATATGCCCTACTTTCTCCCCCTTCCCCCCTGTCGAAACTGTAATTGCCGGTGTGAAATTCAATCTGGATCGGTCACAAATTGCCTCCAGTGTACGGAGTACAGTCTTTACTGTATGTACATGGTAGTTCTTTTCAGCGCACTTGCCAGATGGGTTTAGGAAGGTGAGGAGACAAGGATCCAAGACTCCCAAAACTATTTACTACCAGGAAGGAGCTTCGGTCACAACGTTATTATTCCTACCGGGCCCTCTTTTCTTCCCTCTCTCCCTTTTCACCTTTGCTCACAGCTCATCTGGGTCCCTTGGTGGTGGTGGTTTGTGTGTGTGTGTGTGCATGGCATCTTCATTATCATATGCCCTGTGAACATCGAACTTGAAGGCTGCTGTCACTGCTGCCACTGCGGGTGCTGGTGCTACTGGTGCTGGTGCTTGTTCATTTCTCCTCATTCCCTTTCATTATTCCTTCCATCGCATCGATTATTACAGTGCACAATTGTGTATCACTACCTCCCCACGATCTCTGCTCTTTTTTTTAAGGGCCGATCTAGCAAAGGGGATCTTGTTTCATCACTGGGTCTATTTCAAGAGGCACTGCCGCAATATAGAGTAGCAGCACCTCAGCCCCTCTACTTCGGGCCCGATCTGATTCGTTAGTGGCAGTAACCTCCCGGCCAACTTGGAGCCAAGTTGACACTGGCCTGCCTTTTGACGTCTTGCACGGCTCGACGGTCCGCGTTGCAGAAGCCTGGTAATTCGAAAAGAGCACAACCAGGCCTTCTTTCCCCTCTCACGACTGCTGGATGTCGTTGGAGTGGTACTCTCTGCCTTCTACCTAGTACCCTGCCAGGTGCCTACTACCTACTTCCCTAGTAGGTGGTGGTTGATCTGATCAATAAAAGGGATTGTCCCACCGAGGCACAGAGACCAACTGGCCTTGACTGGCTCCAGACGGCCCTGCCTTCCTTCTTCGGTCCGCCGTGGGTGTTGTGTTGATGTGTGTGTGTCTGTCTGTGTGTTTCGCCGTCCATCTGCATCCGCACAACACTGTTTCGCCCCCAACCTCTTCTCTCCCTCTGTCATCATCTCTCAACGATCTACTTGATTTGGCTATTCTTGGGCTGAAAAAAAACAACCTCACTCAAAAAACTCCATCTCGGTCTCCTGCTCACTTTCACCTATAATCCCGACGCATAAAGGCCTGCTATAACAAGTGATACTTTCATCATCTTCATCTTCATCATCATCATCATCAATTCATCATCATCATCAATTCATCATCATCATCAATCTCTCAACGACAACGATCTAGATCTCCCCGCTGCGTTCCTGGTATGGAGAGTTCTCACAAACTGACAGTGCTTCATGGTCATCTGCAACATGACTACTGGTCTTTAGCTGCAAAGTTCTCCGATTCCATCATCCCGCAGTGAATGGAAGTATCCAAGTGAGCGCACGTGGTGCGGACCCGGCTCTCTTGTTGCGAAACTCCTGCTGTTCCAGCCGATAGCGTGACATTCCTGCTACCGGAAAGACGAACGTGCTCCATACCTGAGTCGCATTCAACTTGCTCCCAATTTTCACCCTACGCCCCGTAAGCATCCGACTACCATTCGGTTACCCCACTTGTGGCTGTCAGTTGGGGACGTCAACAGTTACGGTTCCAGTGTGAGTCAACGAAGCTTCATTTCAGCAATCTTGAAGATGGAGATGGCTAAATGGTCTCCAGCGCTTGTCAAATTGCCTTAATCACACTTCTGGGCAGTTCAGACAACACCGATCAACAGTTTTCCTTTGCCGGACAGCTCAAATCCTGCCTGGCAATTAGTGCCTATAAGCTCTGAGAGCCATCGCATTGGAAACTTCTTCTGCCTCGTGGCATTGGCGTTCTCCATAGCCAAGTCTCCCTGCATTTAGAACCAGAGCGCCGACATCATGTCGGATCACTCGACAGGTCCCTTTGGGAGTAGGTCACCTTTGAATATTGAGTTCGTACAATCAGCTAATGTGCCAGGCTCCGGAGCCCATCCATACCAGCTCCCACCTCCACGTACGTCCGCACCCTTACAGATCGGGACGGACCCCTTCCTGCGTCAGCGCAATCCAACAGAGAACCGCGAACCCGGCGAGATAGCCTCGGGGCGGTCGAGTCTTTCTGGGCCACAGCTGGGGCCGAAGGAGCAACTGCCTCCTGTGAGTCAGTTACTGACGCCCAGTGCGCATTCGAGCCGGCCATCGTCTCCATATCACGCCCACAGATTCGGGGTTTATACCCCTCCCACTGGTAGCACAGAATCACCAATCCCTCGCCATCATAACGAACACATACCGCGATCTAGCATTCACGAGAGCTCTCGGGCTTATCCTGAGGCGGTCGCATCGCAGAGTCGAAGCCTGCCGCCGTTGTCTCACATTTCTACCAACACTGGATTCGGACGCGAAGGCTCTATACACACAGCGTCTACTAGTTCGTCCGGACACCCAATTCACGCAACTCCTTTCTCATATCCTGGCTTCAAACCCCAGGATAAGGAATATGGCGGGGATTATTCCCCATCAGAAACCACATCTGACATGGCCTCGGCTAATCGATCCTCAGATAGCAATGTACGGCCTCACGTGGTGGATGAGAGATACATCGACGGAGAAGGATTGTGTTATATCTATGCGGATGGGTCGCACTGCCCGAAGCTTATTGACGGCGTTCCAGTGAATGCAAACTGGGGGATCACAAAAGCCGGCAAGCCGAGGAAGAGACTGGCACAGGCTTGTCTGACTTGTAGGGAGAAGAAAATCAAATGCCAGCCAAACCTCCCCAAATGCGACCAATGCCAGAAGTCTGGGAGAAACTGCAGGTTCGAGAGCGCGTAAGTCGGTTGATGACATTGCTTCTGAGTACCGGCCAAATCTGCAGCTGCTGACTGAATATCATCACAGACCTCGTGGCCATCGAGCAGCACTCAAAACGGCGCACCTCATGGGCAAATACGATTCACAGGAGAGCTACTCTGCAGGCGGTTACACTCATGGCGCCTCACCTCAGCCCTCATACTCGACGATGCGGGCATCCGAGAGCTCAGTATCCCTCCCAGGCACGAACTCGCTATCCCCCAAGTCCGAAGCATCCATAATCACCCCGTCAGCCGTTGACACAACTCAAGACGTGATGGACTACGAGCCACAGTTTCGACCGAAAGCGTACAGTTTTGGCCGAGCATCCTCGGGAGCGGAAGTCATAGCCAATACCACAGTCAGCGTGTCTTCATTTGTGTCTCCAGATTATGCCGAAGTGTTGACAGAGATGAAGGACATGGACCCTCAAGATCCACTTGCGAGCGACTGGAATACAGACCCTTACGAGGCCGATCCGGAACTTACTGTGCACTACATCGAAAGCTATTTCACCTACGTGAACGACCGGCTGTACTACATCTTTCCACGAAAACGATTTCTGCTGTGGCTAAGGGCGAGCCATACCAAATCCTTGGAAGACAACATGCTTCTCTACGCGATGATGGCATTAGGATCGGTATTCTCCGATCGTCCCGACAGGATGCTGGCGATGAGGAAGTACGCACGCATAGCTCGATACGCAGTGGAGCATGGCAGACACAATTTGTCTTTGCAGCTTGCCCAAAGCCACATCATCCTCAGCCTTTGGTACTACGCCATAGGAGCCCTGGTGCAATCGTGGGACGCTGCTGGTGCGGCCGTCCGTACAGTATGTGGACTTCGTTATAATGTCGAAGCAGGGGGAGTCATTGTGGATCAAAACCAGGCCTGTGAGTATGGACTGCATCCACAGGCTTTGATTGAGTGTCGCAGGCGAACATTCTGGGTTGCCTTCATCAAGGACGTGAGTATCCAAGCCAGCCTGTTGAGTCTGTCTATTTCGCGGCTAATTGTATTGGTGTGATCTAGCGTACAACCTGCGTTTATGCCCCGTCACCCGTCACCATCTCCTCCCAGTCCGCTTACCTCCGACTTCCTTGCCGCGAAGAAGTTTTTGAAGCACAAGAATATACCACCGTACCTTACTTTCAGAGTTTCTTGAACCAGAATCCTTCTTCCAACAACGACATTTCCAGTGCGAGCGCCATGGCACTTTTGATTGAGATCATGTCGTTGTGGGGAGAAGTATCGGACCATGTCTTCCGGTTGTCGTTGATCCCGACGGAAGTATATGGCGAACACTTTGAGCAATTCTACTCGACAGTGGCTCGGCGCGCTGAGGAATGGATTGCAAGGCTTCCGGACCATCTTACGTTCACAGCCGTGAACTTGGAACGGAGCATCCGTGCCAAGAAAGCAGACGCATTCTTGTCAATCCATCTGGTCTATCATGCTACGTTGATGAAGCTGAACCGACATGGCCGTCACCAGAGCATTCGCGCGGAGGTGGTTAGCCAGCATATCCACGCCGCGAGAACCCATGCGGCTGATATCCTTCGTATGACCAAAGCACTGGTTCAGTACGCAACGGAGTACGAACCGACCCGGATTCTCATGGAGCCAAGTTCGGCCAAGGGAGCGATCTTGAATCCTTTTCTGGGCTATGTGATTCTGTCCGCGATCGATATTATCAGTGCAGCAGGCCGGTTGGTCGAGCTGCGCGAATGTCTTGCGCTCATCCAGGGTGGTCTTGAGGCAGTCAAAGAGCTGGCTCGGTTCTGGGGCAGTGCCCTGGCGCTAGCTACCTTGATCCAAGAGCGGCTTGATACCTTGAGCGCATGTCTGGCGAGCCCAACGCAAACCGAGGGTAAAGTGGCGTTCCTGAGCAATAGCGCGTCTCTGGATAGCAAGGCCCGCAATGTGCTGCAAAAGCATGCCGAGCCATCGACGGACGAGGATCTTATGTATGGAGCATTGCCATATGAGGGATTGCTCAGTGCTCTAGGCGCTGGCAATGGCCCTTTTCCGGCCGAAACCATCCTTTGGGTTGGCGACACCAAAAGCTGATACTGTTTTCGGGAGGATCATTGACTTTGAATTTGGAGGCATGTAATAACAAAGCACGGCCATTTTGTTGTTTTTGATTTGACACATCATATACCCGGGAGGCTTGTTTTGACTTGGTTCTGGAGTGGGTTTGTGACCACGCCAGTGAATGATTGTACATACATACTGTGGGGAGACGAGCATTTGAGTCTTCATGAAGCATATGACTGCATGAACTGAGTCAATAAATATACCTATGAGTTATTGACCTGTGATTAATTCAGTTCGAATTACATACATAGTAGTTATTGTAGTGGACTCGTTAGTGTCATTGTACGTCCTCACCGCCGAGGCTGTTTCTTCCGACGTCATTAAAGGGTTGACGAACGACGACCACATGTGACCTGCAGCAAGCCAGCACAGCACATCCGCTGTAACTGCAGACGGGTCAGTAGTTTCCCTTTCCCAGAGAGACCAATATCATACCTAGTCCAGTTAGTTGATGCTGCTCAGTGAAGTGATAGAGTGAGATGAGACTATCTTCCCAAAAGGAGGGATGGTAATTAAGCAACTTGGAAGCCCGTCCTTCAACCTCAATCCCGCCGGACTTCCTTCCTACCCGACCTGAAAAAGTTCCCCGCTCTTTCCGCCCCTCCGTTCTTCGGTACGGTCCAGCCAGTCCGCCCGCGGCTGCGGACTGCTGCCAGCCAGCTTCCTTGCCCATTCCGGCGCGCGTTTTGCCGTTGTGACAAAGACAGGCGGTCTTCTTCCTTTTCGCCCTTTGCAGAGTCGTCAACGGCCAGAGATTATATCATACATCATACTTCGAGTATTGGAGTACTGGGGTATTCTATTCCGACATATTTGATTTCCCCAAGCAAGGGATTGACTGACCACTCACCCAGAATTTACCGAAAGGTAGCTTGCTTTAACGCGGGAGGAAAAAAAGCACCGCCTGAAAGGACACTCAACGCCGCGACCGAATTAAATTAAAATCCCAAAACATCTGCCTAGCCTACCTACCGTACCGTACCGCAAAGGAGAAAAGGGAGGGAGAAAAAGAACTGAGAAGATGTCCACAACAAGGGACAGGGAGGAGGACTCGGAGGACTCCTCCTTCTTGTTACCGCAGCACCAACCGACTGTGAACAACAACAACAGCAACAACGACAGCAGCAGCAGCAGCAACGATGCCGACGACGACGATGAAGACTACGACCTCCTCACCGCTGGGGACGACAACGCTCAAGAACCCGATTACTACACCCTCCTCAACCTGCGCCGGCACCCGCCGCCGACGGACGCCCAGATCCGCTCCGCCTACCGCGCGCTCACCCTCTCGTTCCACCCGGACAAGCAGCCGGAGCACCTGGCCGAGGCGGCCAAGCGGCACTTCGAGCGGATCCGCGAGGCCTACGAGACGTTGATAGACGGGCGGAAGCGCGTGGTCTATGATCTGCTGGGGGCGGAGGGGGTGCGGGAGGAGTTTGGCGAGGCGGAGAGGGTTGGTAGCCATGGGGCGGCGGCGGGGGCGGCGGCGGAGTGGAGGGTAGGGTTGAAGGCGAAGAGTCCGCAGGAGTTTCGGCGGTGGTTCTTGGAGAGGATGAAGGCTAGGGAGCGGAAGGCGGTGAATTCTTTGGTGGAGGGCAAGGTATGTTCGTCTCGTTTTGAATGGGGATTTGGGAGGGGATGACGGGGGATGCTTTGGGTTGGCTGGTTGACTAACTTGTGTTGTGCTGGGGCGATGGCTAGGGTTCGTTTACACTCGGCGTTGATGCTTCGAATACGATCACTATCGATGAGGATGCCGGCGAGGTCTATCTGAATGTCCCGGATCCGAAATTGTCGAAGTTTGGCGTGGCGTTTGCGTTCAAGGCGCCGTTGCCGACGTGGAGGAATATTGCGGGGGAGGACGAGATGGAAGACGATGATGACAACGAGAACGAAAATGGGGCGGACGAGGACGGTGCGGTACCTGACCTCAGTTCGCTGGGGGATGGACCGGAGATGGTCATCAATGCTGGGATCTCGGGCAAGATTCGCCATTTGACGCAGAAACTGCAGGTTCAGATCGAAGATCAGGAGCCGGAGGTTGTCGAGGTAATTCCTACGGGTCCCGTTCGAGCATAGAGGGATAGGCGAGAAGGGCTCACTGATTGATTGTCTAGGTTCCTGTCCCCTTGGTCATCTCGACTAAAGAATTGCAACTGGGTGTGGGCGTGCACCACGCCTTCGGAGATCTGGCCGGCTCCAAGGGCATCCTGGGCAAGCCTGCCTTGTCGTTCCTTCAGTACTCGGGCCTGGCGGTGAATGCTTCGGTGCTGCCATTTCCACAGCTCGATGTCAACTGGGCCAAGCCTTTCACCCTCGTCCGCGGGACGAGGCCTTTCCGGCTAGAACTGAACACGGTGTTCCAGCGGCCGGTTTGGGCTGCTCCGCCGATGCTGGGCGCTCGGCTGTCGAAGCAGATTGGCGACGAGAAACATGTGTTTGCCAATCTGGACAGTGGGACGCTTGTCTGGCCGGTTTGGTTCCGCCAGCTCCTCAGCCCCAGTTACGAGATTCAAGATGACTTCAAGTATCTGCTCTCTATTCCTGGACAACTGAGCCAATTCCAATTCGGTCTCTTGTCCCAGCCGACGACCAGGTATATGGCTAGTATTGACGATGATGAGGATGACGGCGAGTTGGACGAGGACGTCGATTTTGAGGACGTCCGCTCCAAACACCGCAAGAACAACCGTGCTGCGGAAGCGTGGCAGGTAGGAGTCGCAGTCAGCCCGGCGATGGGTGGCCTGTCCTTCAACTACTCTCGAAATATCTTCTCTGGCAAGCCGTCCACTGATGCATCACTTTCCCAATGGAGCTCGGAGGGGCATTATCGCCTTCCTCAAGAGAATGAACCCCGGTCCGTGAGGATTGGCGTCCAGAGCACGGTCGGGTTCGACCTGTCGCTTGGCTGGCACATCGAGGGAACCCGTCGGGTTGGTGACCTGGCCCGCATGGGGCTGGGTGTAGGTGTCCAATCGGCGAATGGCTTGGTTATGACCCTTTCCTGGAGCAGGCTGGGCCAGAACATCCGATTGCCTATCACGGTGTGTTCCTTCGAAGCGGCTAACGCTGATGCCGCTGCGGTGGCGGTCCTGCTGCCCTGGGTCGCGTACTGTGCGCTGGAATTCGGGTTTATCCGTCCGAGGGAGCGGAGGAAGCACCGTCGGGTGATCGCCCGACGACAGAAGCAGCTCAAGAAGCTGGTACCCAAGAAGAGGGAAGAAAGTCAGCAGGCGATCCAGCTGATGATGGATCAGGTGCAACGGCGCCGTGACCGGGAGGCCGCGCACGATGGCTTGGTGATCACCCGGGCCGAATACGGCCACTACCCCAAGAAGAAGCGAAGCGATGGCAGCGAGAGGGACCCTGACGTGGCCGATGTCACTGTTCCGGTCATGGCGTTGGTCGACAACGGTCAGTTGGTGATATCTAAGAACTCGGCCAAGTTTCACATCCTCGGGTTCTATGACCCTGCGCCTCTGCTGCCCAAGACCCTGAAGATCTGGTACACGTACCACGGGAAGGAACATTACGTGGAAGCGGGTGACAAGGAAGGCGTTACCTGCCCTATGCGCTCGCATATGGTGTGAGCGAGGTCATGAGGCCTTTTTCTTCGTTGTTTGATTGTTGTGTTCATTTCATACTTTCTTAATGTAAACGTGAGCCACTGACATCGGATCCTCCACGATGCATATGAGCTTGTTCCATGATGGTTGTCTGTGTATGATAGACCTGCGAAGTGATTCCCCTCTCATCGATTACTCTTTTACTGGCGATGATCTAAGATTTGATGTACTGGACTGTACTATAAAGCATATAAATGGACATCCGTACAATGCTCTGTCTTGAACATTTTTCCTGCCAATCCCCACTCAATTAGAGACAAGCTCTTGACACTGAACTGCTGGCCGGGAAGATGTAGCCAAAGATAATGAATGGCGTACTCATCGCCCAGCAACTTCAGAGGAGAGTGAAGTACTTACAGATAGAAGTATTGAGTAAAAATCCCCAATGGCCACCGCCCCGGGACCACGTGACCGTCGACGCAATTCCGCCGCCCGCCAAACTTCCCATTCCCGACGAGCTCGAAACGCAATCAACCTCTGAATCCCTTTCCCCCCCACCCATCCATCCCTCAAGTCATCATCATCTCGAACCCCTACCACGATGGCGTCCATAGCGGAGGGACTCTTCAAGGCTCTTCCGAAGCCGAAATACACCGGCGAGGAGGAGGAGCTCCCACAACACGCGCAGCCCCGTGGGCCCCGGGTCGTGGGCCCCGGCCAACTCGATGAATCTCAGATTGTGCTCCGGGTAGGTTTCCACCGCAACCCTTCTTAATCGAATCCCCCAGTCTACACCCGACTACGCGGATATGATACTAACTTTGACTTATTTGTGTCTAGAGAACCGGACCTCCCCCCTATCAGAACCGAGCCGGATGGCGGCCGCGGGCCCCCGAGGACTTCGGCGACGGCGGCGCGTTCCCGGAGATCCTGGTGGCGCAGTACCCGCTCGACATGGGGCGGAAGGGGACGGCGTCAACGTCGAACGCGCTGGCGGTGCAGGTGGACGCGGAGGGGAAGGTGAAGTACGACGCGATCGCGCGGCGGGGCCACGGCGACAACCGGATCGTGCACGCCTCGTTCAAGGACCTGATCCCGCTGCGGCAGCGGGTCGACATGGGCGAGATTTCGCTGGACCGGCCCTCGGAGGAGGAGGTGGCGGCGCAGATGGAGAGGACCAAGACCGCGCTGGCCAGTCTGGTGGAAGGGGCGGTGTCGGCCCAGAAGCCCAAGAACGTGCGCGGGGGCCGCCGCGCCGAGCCCACGTTCGTGCGCTACACCCCCGCCAACAACCAGATGGGCGACACCTCGCGCAAGAATGATCGCATCATGAAGATCGTCGAGCGCCAGCAGGATCCCATGGAGCCGCCCAAGTTCAAGCACAAGAAGATTCCCCGGGGTCCGCCCTCGCCCCCGCCGCCCATCATGCACTCCCCGCCCCGCAAGCTGACCGCGGAGGATCAGGAGGCCTGGAAGATCCCGCCGCCCGTGTCGAATTGGAAGAACCCCAAGGGTTATACCGTGCCGTTGGATAAGCGGTTGGCGGCCGATGGTCGCGGGTTGCAGGATGTCACGATCAATGACAAGTTCGCGCAGTTTGCCGAGGCGCTGTTCACGGCCGACCGCCACGCGCGGGAGGAGGTGCGGCTGCGCGCCCAGATGCAGCAGAAGTTGGCGGAGAAGGAGAAGGCTCAGAAGGAGGAGCATCTGCGGGCGTTGGCGCAGAAGGCGCGCGACGAGAGGGCTGGCGGCAGTGGCAGTGGCGGTCGTCGTCAGCGGGATTACTCGCGGTCGCCGTCCGCCCGCAGTGTCAGCCGCAGCCCGTCGAGGTATTCGGATCGGTCCGGCACGCCGAGTGGCGGGGAGGACGAGGACGAGCGGGCGGCCCGGCAGCGGGAGCAGATGCGGCGCGAGCGGCGGCAGGAGGCGGAGCGGCAGCTGCGGCAGTCGCGCATGGGCACGGAGCGGCGGATCCAGATGATGGCGCGCGAGCAGAACCGCGATATCTCGGAGAAGGTGGCGCTGGGCCTGGCCAAGCCAACGCAGTCGTCCGAGGCCATGTACGACTCGCGGCTGTTCAACCAGACGAGTGGCATGAGCTCCGGGTTCAACGAGGACAACCCCTACGACAAGCCGCTGTTCGCCGCGCAGGACGCCATCAACAGCATCTACCGGCCGCGTGCGCAGCTCGATGACGACGACGAGGGAGAGGGAGCGGGCGAGGAGATGAGCAAGATCCAGAAGTCGAGCCGGTTCGAGGTTCTGGGCCGAGCTAAGGAGGGTTTCAAGGGAGCTGAATTGGCGGAGGTGAGTTTTTTTGCCCATTTGCTTGTGGTCAGGGCCAGAGTGCTAATCTGTCTCTCCTAGGCTCGCGATGGTCCCGTGCAGTTCGAGAAGGACACGACGGACCCGTTCGGTATCGACAGCATGATCGCCGACGTCACGGGAAGCGCGGGATCATCGGGCCAGAAGCGCTACGGACTCGAGGAGGTCGATCGTTCCGAGCGTGGATCGAAACGGCCCCGGGTGGAAGACGATTGATGGTGGGGTTGAATCAGATACCTTCAACTTTAGTCTTGTGACTGTACCTTGTGAATTCGGATTCGGAATCTTGTGCTATGCATTGCGGGCGTTGAGCTGTTACTATTCTCGGTAGGAAGGGTTTGTTTCAAGGTTGCCAGGTAGGTACGCCAGATGCTATTTTTAAATTGGAGATCAAAAGAATACTACATACAATGATTGTACACTACCCTGGTGATTCCTACATACTCCGGCTGACCTTGTGGTTGGTCATCCCATCCATGTACACTGGAGTAGGCTACGCATGCCGCCCGCATTCAATCGGAAACCTGCCCCTCTTCATCCAAGCACCCGTGCCGCAGCCATGGACAAGGGTGTTAGTATAGTATAGCGGAGCAGAGCATAGCATCTCATTTCTGATATGCCCATGCCCATGCCCACATCCATACAACCAATCCCGACTCCCCTTCTACTTCCGTGATAAGGTTTCAAGTTGCCTTCCCTCTCCTGCACCTTAACGAAGATATCCTCCGCATACTACCTCTCTCTCTCTCTCCAGTAGATATCCTTAAACCCACCCACCTCATCAACACCCCTCCCTACCTTGGTATGAATACAGTGAACGCATGCCCATCCGGCCTTAGCACATTCCAAAAAAGGAAGCAAAAGTCACCGTCACCCGATCTACCACAAACAGGATCCCTGGGTTTTGCGTAGTGTATATGTGTTCAGGGCTCGGGGAGCTTAGAAGCTTGGGTTGGGTTGGGCTGGGCTGGTGGTACGATATGATACTTGGACTGCTTTAGTAGGATGCTGGTAGCTGTAGCTGAGATTAGGGGAGTTTCTTTGTGTTTGCATGTTGTTGATGGTTTGAAGCTTTTTCTTTATGGGAAAGTATATGGTTGGAGGTCTGGTCGAGTGGTTTCTTGTGCCTTGTTATTTGGTTGGGTTGGGTTCTTGGTGGAATGTACTGTACTGTACTGTGGATGGGATGAGGGTTGAAGGTTGAGATGATGTGCGGGTGGGTGGGGGGTGGGTGGACTTGTACTTGTGACTTGTTTGGGGGAGTTAGATATTGGCTGGCTGGGTAGTTTGTACTGTACTGTAGGGTGGGTAGGGTGGGTAGTAGGGAGCAACTGGATTTGGTGTGCATGATCTCTGGGTTGGTATCATGGGGTTCTTATGCTTAGACTTTGATGTTTCAGCTGGAGGCTGGTTATTGGTTTTCTGTGGTGGTGGTGGAGATGATCTTGCCATTCTCCTGTCAACTACAAGCATGAGTAACGTCCCGGACTACCTACTGTATCTGTGGATGATCTTGCTATTCTTATCTGTCATTCACAAGTGATCCCAGCCGGTGTCAAGGTGATCAGTAGTTACTACTTGGAAGGTAATCAGTGGCGATAACCCAGTATAATGCCGCAGGTGGATGCACTGTAGGTGCCTAGTGCGGAGGCATCTGCACGGTACTTCTTCCCTTCCCCTTCCCTTGTTCAGAGGGGCGAACGGGAATAGACTACACATCCACTGTACGATCTCGTCAGAAAGTACCGTTATACCCCGGGATGGCGTACTAACTTCCGACTGGGGATATAACTGTGCTCTGCTAAGGTACAAGCTACATACTGCATTACAGCTACACCACACCTACACCTTGAGCTGAGCCACACCACACCACACCACACCACCCTTCCCCCTCCCTCATCGTGGCTTGATATCTGGTTGGTGGAAACGAAGCAAATAGCGTGGAAGGATCGCATGAACTGCTCTGCTCAGGGCTGTGCTGTGCTCTGCTGCAGGCTGCCTTTCCCCCCCCAGCTTTGTGTTTCTTTGCGTGGGTGGTCTCGTATTCGGCTGTGTGGTGGATGTGATGTGAGGATGCGTACGGGGTAGCGTAGCTGACTAGAAGTGTGGCTTGTGGCTTGTGGCTTGTGGCTGGGGTACTTGCTGCTTGGTTGGGACGATGCATTAGGAAATCGCAAGTACTGTACTGTAGTTACTGTATCTTTTGACTTGGGTAGTCCAGCTAATGCGATAGTAGACAGACATACATGCATGCACCGATGCGCCCATGCACGAAGGCAGATATCAGGCCATTGTTCTTGGTATCTGCTCGGGTCGATCAGCCGGTGGTTATTGGGTATCACCTACTTACTCGGTGACTTGACTTGACTTACCGGATGGGCTGGTATATCTTAGGTAGAATGGAAAGGGGGGGGGGGGGGAGAGATAGGGTTCGTTACTTATCTACTTACCTACCTCAGGCTAGTACGATTCCATACCTAGTAGAAGATGGATTGAGTGGTGGGTGGGCGATGGAAGTTTCAATCGACCAACCAGATAGATACAACACTGCTACGCCGGCGGAGATCGCTTTTCGTTGTCTTCTGCTCTGGTCATGGGGGTGGGATTGCCTTGATTCTGTTTGGGTTGCGATGGTCTTAATGTGCTGTGCTGTGCAGATGGGATTTAGACTCTGCGCTTCAAGCGCATTATTCGAGATGGGGCACCGGAGGTAATGTGGACGGAGGCATACAAGGACTGTTAAGGGCGTAGCAGTTGAGTTTAGGGGAATTGTCTCGGGTAATTTGGTGCTGCAGCACGTCCGCTCGACTGTACTCCGTACAGACGCTGCGTGGCGATGAAACTCGGACGGATATCTGGGATATAGAACTGATGGCCTGTCGCTCGGGTCCGAGATTGTGGAATTACTTTGAGGATGTATGTACTGAGTAGTTTCTTGCATGCCATGTGCAAGTGTTGTCAGCGGAAGCGGAAGGCAAACGCGATGATGTTTTTGTCTTCAAATTCACGATGAGTGGCCAGGCCAAGCTCCCCATTAAACTGCTGTCGGGTTTCATCTCTAACTGGTTGGCGTATATTGCTCACTGCAGTGCTCCGGCAGTCGATGTCAAAAGTCCAAATTCCACAGAAGTACCTGGACAGCGACTGCTCCACAATCCGCTCAACAGTCCAGATACTAATTGCCCACTTGGCTCCTCTTTCCTCGAGACTAACACGCCGGCGTGTGCCACAATTCCTTCAATTTGCTATACAGTAAGGTCTGTAGAGTGCCACCCCCTCACTTCTAGCTGCAAACCAAAAGCCGACAAATTACCTGAGACGTGAAGGCGACGATGCAAAATCTCTGCGCCCCTTATCTACTTGTCCATCGCCACTCATCCACATTCCCACTGCAGGATGGCCCTGTGTGACTGGATCGATGGCTGATTTGCGCGACCGTGGTGCCTGACTAGTAAGCCAGCCAGCAGCTCTTGTCTTTCCTCCCACACGTTCATCACACAAGAACATCCTTGCCCCTGGAAAGTGCGGGGGAGCCGAGAAGGTGAGAAGAAGGTGGAGGGGGGGAGGGAGGCTTGCTTTCTAAGGTTTGCGCAGGATGGGAGTGGGAGGGAGGGAGTGAGAAGACGGTTGGCGAGCCAAACCAGAGGCGTCCGCTTATCGATCCGTGCGTCCGCGCGCGCTGATTGATGAGCATCACCCAAAGGAAAAAGAGAGCAAACTTAACCCGCTAGAACCAGCGATCATCCATCCGAGCAGTTGAGCACAGGGCAACACTTCGGTCGGGACCAGCGTCTAGCGCGGGGGCGCCATCCAAAGGGATTTGCTGGTTCGACTGATAAGCAGTCTGGGTCCCGGTGGAGCCTGGCAGCTGGAGACAAGAGATAAAGGCCGGAAAAGGGCGTTGGAATGACTCGATTCGAAGTATTAGGTAAAAAGGTTTGTGGTGGTCGAGGTTGTGTGAGCGTAAAGGCAAAAAAAAAATTTGGGGAGGTAGAGGATAAGAACCAGAGTTCGTTGGGTCAGTCTGCACTCGTTCTCAGATCTCTTTTTTTCGATTCGTCCTTGGCTTGGGAAGGAATCGCACGAGGTACACACTGGTACTGGACTTGTAGAAGAAACGCGAGTGTGTCTGTGTGTTCTCGTCCTGCAGCCAGTCATCATCAGCAGTGAACTTAAATTTTTTCTTTTTCTTTTCTTTTTTCCTGTCTCCAACAGTTACTGACTGACTGACACTCAAATCTCGTGGGGGGAAAGAATCTGGATTACTACTACTTCATACCCTGGTCACAACCAGCCGAACATCCGCTGTGGAACTGTTGCTGAAACGGTCAGGTCGCAGTGTCACATTTTCGAAGCCGGACAGGAACTGGTCCAGACTCCACCCATCCATTAACCTACATTGAGTCAGTTGAGTCAGTGTAGTAATAGAGAAGAGAAAACCTGAAGAGAAAAGTGTGTGTGTGTGTGTGAGTGTGTGGTTGGAGGGAACAGACGAATTGCATCGCATCACCAGCCACGAGGGAAGTGGTGGTTGTCGAGTCACCTGCTTTCCACCTCTAAAATAAACTAAGCTCTTCTCCTCTTCTGCCTTCTGCAACAACTACTACTGTGCACTATTAACTCGAATCCTCTTTTGGTCTTTCCCCTCATCTGCCTCTTCTTCCACTTCTGCCTCTTTTGCTTCACCCTCAAATTAACCTTCAATCTCCTCTATCCTCTCACAAGACCACCATTCCCCCCCCCCTCCCCTCCTCCTACTGAATCAACGGTGACGCAAATTCCTCCTTCATGCCGTAATCTCCTCAATTGCCTTCTGCATCGATGATGATCTACTAAATCCCGTCTTCCGTGCTACACCTGCATTGATATCATCTGTCCAAACAATGGCGTAACCAGGGGTGGGAGAACAATGATCAATCGAGGCTACGAACTATTCAGGTCTTTCAAGCACAGAAAGAAAAAGCGAACAAAGGATCCTGACTCAACCTACCGTCTGGCGTCATAATCCCCCAGATTAAAGTGATCGCCCGGGCGATTGATCGGCCTTGCCTTGCCTGCACCACACTGCACTGCACTGTACAGCCGCAGCCTGGTACATACTTTATTACTGGACTGTCTACTTTTATTATTACTGAAATCTCATCAATCCTTTTACTCCTTTCTACTCCTATCTCTACTCCTGTCCACCACTGATCGATCTTGATCTATACTGTGAGTTTCCACACTATCGGTCTGCGCTTCTCACCTCTGACTGCTATTAGACCGTGCCGACACTACCTTGACCTGATTGAATGGTCTACTTTGCCTGGTCGTCGGCTGTCACTACAGTGAATCAACGCCTGCTGCGGCCCTTCTCTGCCCACAAAGTCTAGCAAGAAAGTCTAGCAAGATGGAGCAATCACTGTCTCTCATCTCTGCCCAGGTCCAGTTCATGGTGAGCCTTGACTTACCCTGTACACCTCATTGCCATGTCCTTTTTCATACAGACAACACAGCATGGCATCTACCCCGCTCAAGCTTATCTCACTAACCACCGTCGTGGAATTACAGGAAGATCGACTGGCCCTGGTGCATATTCCACTGGATCTCTACCCGTTCTTCCTCAACCCGATTCTGCAGGTGCTCTTTCATGAGGTATCTCCGATCGCTGAGGCTCGAACGGAAGGCCAGGACTTCGGCCGTGCCGAAATGCTCAAACATACGCAGCCCGCATTCTTGAACCTCTCTATCACCCCGGTGGAATGCTCCATCATGTGTCCAAGACAGCTTGCCAATCAGTACTTCGCGCCATTGGTCGATAAGTTTCTTCGCAACAATTCGTCCAGCCAGAGTCGCCTGTCGATCAGTCCCGATGATTTCATTGCCATGCAGGTGTACGGCGAGGGTCTGGAAGCTGGCCAGCGGGTCCTGGAACTCACCCGGCCACTGGCCATGGCTGGAATGTACGTACCAACTGATTTGAGATTTCGAGCAACGCACTGACTGGAATGATGTAGCTCCATCTTCTTCATCTCGACCTACTTCTCGGATTACATCATTGTCCCCCTGCGCAGCAAGACTCAAGTGATCGAGACGCTGGAGAAGCGTGGCTTCCAGTTCGAACTGTCAACGGAGGCGTTCATCAACAACAATCAGGCTCAATACGGTAGCTGCTTCAGTCCTGTTTCCTCTCGTTCGGCAAGTAGTTTGAGTTCCCCTCCGGCCACTCCTCCCCCTTCGTCTTTAGACGAACTACAAGTGCGCACATTCTCGTCACTACGCAAGAACCACATCATCCCATCTGTCGATCGCTCGCTTCGTCTAGTGCATTGTGCAGCCCACCATCAATTCAGCAGCAACACCAGCTCGATTGAGATTCTGCGCGAGGCCCTCACCACTACATTGATTGTTGACAAGCCACGGTTCTTGTCACTTACCTTGACCGCTGCTGACCCCGCGGCATCTCTACTTCTGGAGAAACGGCTTCTTCCGCGGTTCTCGCATGGGAACTCCACAACTGCGGGCGAAGATGATGAGTCCAGTCTTTTACTCGGGTCGAAGGAGGAGATATTAGTTCCCATCATGCTGGATCTCCGCAAACTGCCCCTTGAGGCGACAGGCATCGTTTGTGGCGTTGCTAGTCGACTGGCCGATGCTACTCATGCCCGAGACGATGAGGACACCGATGTCTCCACCTTCCTGTCTCGTTCCTACAATGGTTCGGGCACCTCTCTGGACAGTGCCTTCAAACCCTTCCTCTCCTCCAGCTGGGGATCCGGCGGACCAGTGCGACCTCTTGGCCTCGACGCCAACGTTGCAACCCATCGCTTGCAACCGGACATGGACCTGTCGATGGATGCCGTGGAAATTAGTTTCCTCAGCACGGCCCGCGCGGGCACCATTCTGGTTGGTGAGCATGAGTTGCACCGAGCCGTGGAAGCCTTGGAAGCGGAAAGTCACGAGCCGGAAGCCGCAATTGAGGCTCTCGAGATTTAGCTTTGCCGTTCGCATCCCCTTCTTAAAATTTCGTTTGATGTGTTTTTATCCAAAGTTTTCATTGCTTTACGTCCAGATACCAAATTGTTGCATTGACCTCGCCGTTTCTTGCATTGTGTGTTCCTGGCGCCAGTTGCATACTCCCATATCATCGTTTGTGTTTCTTTGACAAAATTACTCCAAGCCAGGCAAAGCGAAGTTGGGTGTTTGGGAAACGTCGTTTACGCTGCATGACCTCTCCAGAAAAGTTGTTTGGTTGTTTCTTGTGCATGAAACCAAGAATTTCTTCCAAGATTGTTGCATTTACGTCGGCCATCTGAATTTAGTTTACTGTGATTGTGAGACATTTTCATGGGATCTTGTTGGACTGGTAGTGGATCCGGATTGTCCATATTTTGTTTTCTTTTCAATTATTGTGACAGTACTTGACGGTGATATAGCAGACTAAGCTAGCATGTGGCTAGCTGGTGTTATCGCTGAGGTTATTTATTTCGATACCGTGATCCGTGCATGCACTGGCCGTGAGACTCCGGAGTCGCCGGTAATCATGGCTACCTAGTCATTTGATTCATATTGAATTGACATAACTGTCTGTAACTTCCTTCTCCGAGGTGATTGGCATGTAGACAACACACTGCCATGCCCGCGGGAAATGTCGGTTGCCACATCCAGTGTATCGTATACCCCGTGAGAGAGATCAAGTCTCAGGGGCAACGGAGGCAACAAGCCCGCCTGCCGCCTGTGGCGTTGCCTACTTGCCTACTTGCCTACTTGCCTACTTGTCCGTCTGCCTACATTTGTCAGGATCGTACGGTAGACCAGACGCCTCATCCCTACCTACCTACCTCCCTAACTCCCATCGCAACAAGCTCAGAGCCCAGTATGGAGCAAATTTACAATCACCGTTCTGTACCCCGTACTTCACCGTAAACCCCCCTCCGCGTAACTGTACAGATAGAGAGTGCAGGTTAGGTCAACTCATACATCCCCCTACCTCCCGGTACCTCAAGCACAATCACATAAGTCAATTTACACCGCACCGCAACGTCCCTGCATGATCATCTCGAGACGATAACTAGGTAGTTCCCTTTCCCCGGCCCCAGGGGGCTGGGGCCCGGTAGCCCCTTTTCCTTTCCCCAGATGAGTTTTGGGGGTGGGGCAAAGGCGTCGGACCGATCATATACGGATATGAGTTGATATGATATGAAATCCAGCCGCTTCGACCGGATCGGATCCGAGGGGAATTGCCAATGGTGAGTACTGTACGGAGTACTCCGTAGGCATAGGAGTAGAGTAGATCAAGGATGTGAGATCACAATTGACTACCCTTTACGGGGATTTCATCCATTTACTGTACTAACTATATAATTTACTGAGTAAAGTACTGTGGATATGATACCGTGTACTGTATACTATACTCCCGTGCAGTGGATTAAATATCGATTCCAGATGCGGTGGCAAGGGTGGGGGCGGTTATTGGAACGAAGATTCGGGAGACTTTGTAGATGGGTAGTGGATTATAGGATAGCATGGTATGAATTGTACTGTGTGTACTGTATGTAGTATTATCTGTGGTGTAGTGTAGGGTAGTGTAAGCTATAGGAGGAAGCTATACCAGTCTGTGCTAAACAAACCCAATACTGCGGTGGGTCCGTCTGAGCCCGCGGGATCGCTAGGTTCGTGGTTCCATCCTGTGAGCATGGGTGCGCTGCTTCTATTGCTTTCTGTATAATAGTAGCAGTTAAAGGCCGTCTTTCTGGTGGGCGAGCGGATCAGTAGAGGCGGGATAACGGGCTTGGTTAGGGGAGTGTCTGATCAACGGCGGTGCAGGAGGCGGATTGTAAAGGTGGGTTGGGTCGGATATCTTCGGTGGAGTTTGAACTGCTCTCAGGCTTGAGGAATCGTGAGGGAGCTTGCGTCTTCTTGGTTCTGAGAAATGTGGGCAGTTGTACCTAAGACTCCAGGTGGTGAGAGATAACTGCCGGTATGACCAAGCACCCGAGTAGGCAATAGCCCCCCCCCCCCCTCGGCCTCGAGCGGATAAGTAAGGCCACCCGGCGGCGAGGTTCGGGTTGCGGTGATTCGAGAAGATGATGTACTAGGCAAGTATGTTGCGTGACTGAGGTGTGACCCTTTCGAGTATGGCCCCAGAGTTTACAGCTGAAGCAGCACAACAATTCTTGCACAGTGACTGGGTGCGTTTGTCCTCTCGTCACGTCACTGTCGGCTGTCCGCGGCATTGCATCAGGCTAGGCGAGGGTATATGAGGCTGACAACTTTAGTGTCGGTCTCAATCTCGATAGGGGAAAACAGAAAACGCACACGTGGGCGTCTGGTGGCGTCGAGCCAAATCCCAAGGCACGGTAGCCAGTCGGTTCTCGTGGTTAGAGGGAAATACGAGCAAGGGTAAGCAGCCAAGTTGTCAAAGCGCAGAAGCAGTTGGAGAGGGTGAAGTGGAGCAGTAGATTGATTGGTCCCGATGGCTGGGTTTTCTGGCCATGACCTCGCAGCTCAAATCTCACCCACCACCATTCTCAATTTTTTTTCCCGGAGGCTAGCGATAGACTTTAACGGTGCCTGTGATAACGATTGGTGAGTAAAAGAGATTCCACAGGATTGACGGGTGGTTTCTCGAAAGGCACGAGATAGGTTAATGAAATAGAATAGCCGACAGAAGAATAATTGAACAACCGAGAAAGGAAACATACCATCCGAGCACCCACCGGCCCAACAACCTCCCTTCTCATTCCACGCCACGGCACTCACAGCCTTCACCCCCGGACCAGCAGGAACCGCAGCGATAATTTCTCCGCTGAGCACATCCCAAGCGAACACGGCTGCCTGACCACCCGCGGCGCTATTACCGCTCACCTTCTCAGCTTCACCACCGCTCAGAACAACCGCATCCGCCTTGGCAAAGACGGATCGAATCCGCAGCTCGCTGTTCCGGTAAACGAGGGAACCGGGCTGCCCAAGCATGAAACTACTCTTCTCCTCCCTCTCCCCTCCAACAATCTCTTTCTCTTTCCCAAACGCCTGCAGGAGTCTCCCGTCACTGCGATCGAGCATGCGGATCCGCCCGTCCAGCGTCGACGCCAGCACGGCGTGCCCGTCCGTCGAGCAGCGCACGCTCGTGACCGGATGCGCCAGGACATCGACCGTGGTGCGACCCATGCGGATATCGTAGACGCGCAGCCGGCCGTCGTAGCTGCCGCTGGCAATGGAATAGGTGGGCATGTGCACGTGCAGCGAGGAAACGGTATCCCGCGCTTCCGTCAGCGTCTGGATTGGCTTGTGCGAGTTGGACTTGCAATCCCAGAGGTTGATGGTCGTATCCGCGCTACCTATATGGGGCCGTCTTAGTTGATTGCGAGCAGCCCCCCGCAAAGAAAAGAAGAAAAAAAAACATACCAGACACCACGACCGAATCGCCGTCGCCAGCGAACTGAACCGCTTCCACTCGCGCATTGTGTCCACTCCAGCGTCGAGTGGTCCCTCCTTGCTCGACATCCCACAGGAATACTTGTCTGTCTCCGCCCACGCTTGCGAACCGCGCATTATCGGCCGCGACGGCAACGTCGAGCACCGAGTATCCGTGTGCTTCGTATCGCTGGATCGGAGAGGTCGTTTCGATCACTGTGCCATTGTTGCTCGTAGGGACGGCCCGCGAGAGGTGCACAGCACGATCGCTCGACCCGGTGAGCACGTAAGTTCCGGGATAGCTAGAAAATGTCACCGCGTTGACGGGTCCTGCATACGTCAGAGGCGGTTCGAAGCTGTCGCGATGCAGGACAAGCCTCACCATTGTGCGTCTTGAGCGTGTGAACTAACTGCGTGGGAAACCGTTTGCTCGACATTTGAGAGACGAGATTAATTAATTACCAGACTACCGTCAACCTAGTCCGGCTGTTCAAAGGATTTGAGATCGCTATGTGCGGGGATGCAGGGAAAAGAAACCGGGCGGCATAAAGATTGGGGAAAGATGGAGGTGCGGCTCACCGCCGGCGGACCACGGCCTTACTCCGCATTTCCGGCCGCTGCAACATTCTATTCAGTCCACCGGAAACTCCCACGCACTAATTAAATCTGTATTGACATGCTACGAAGTACAAGTGGGTTATTATCGAAGATGTAGTCAAACCATCGCTAGTTACCAGAAGGAAAAATCAGAAGAGCGAACAAACCGGTCCGTGTTGGGCGTCACGGCTCGAGACGTATAGTCCCCCCTGAGCACAAAAAAATCCGAAAATCAACATGAAAAGAAGAGAGTTGAAGGGGTAGTCAGATGTAAAGATATTAGTCGCGTAGTAGAAAGCACAGTTCGTCTGCTTTTCCTTCCGCCCGATACACAGTCGAAGCCAGTCCTGAAGTATCTCAACGACGTCCGTGGCTCCGAGTGGAAGAGCCCTGCAGTGACTCGATCTCCTGTTCAAGAGATTTGATACTGCGATCGGTCAGCATAATAAGACTCCAACGAATGTGGGGTGTGGAAGACATACGCAGCGTGTGTAGCCTCCAAGTCCTTGTTGAGACGGTCTCTCTCCGAAATAAGCTTCTGCTCCCACTGGCGGAATCGCTGTTCCTCAACCTTGACCTGCTCGGTGAAACGCTTGCGCAGGTTCTCTTCCTCTTCCTTGAACTTGGGGTTGTCGAGCTTTCTGGGGCGAGCCTCGCCGAACTTGCGAGTTTCCATCTGTTGCGCACGGTACGCTTCGTAGTGTTGTTCTTCGGTGGTGTGAATAAGGTCCAGCATGTGAGTGCGGATTAGGATCGAGCGCAGCTTCTTGAAGTCGCAGTGATCCTCGTTCTCAACCTCGGCAACACCCCAAGCGTATTGGCGACCCTTCACAACCCGGTTGTCGCTGGTCTTGACGTCCTTCTCCGATCCGATAACTGCGAAGGGCATGGCGGCCATAAGGCTGCGCGCATGGGTAGCGGCGTGCTCGTCGTCTTCCTCGATCGGGGGAGTGTAAATCTTGATGCCCTGGGCCTCGATGACGGCACGGATCTAGGAAAGTCACGAACGTCAATGTGTGTACTTGCTGGAATTCATGCAGGTTGCTCACTCTCTGCTTATAACGGGCCAAGTCGGTAGGGCTGAGGGTGTCGGCCTTGGCGATGACGGGAATAAGGTTGACACGGGAGCTGAGGCGCTTCATGACCTCAATGTCCAGAGGCTTCAGGGTGTGTCCAGTAGGGCGGATAAAGTACAAGCAGGCGTGCACACGCATATCGATCTTGTCGGAGCGGCGGGGCTGCTGCTCCTGCAGCATGTAGGATTCATGCTGGTCGTCGAGGAATTCAATGATTGGTTGCCAGGAGTCGCGGTTGTTGACATAGTCTCCAAAGCCGGGGGTATCAATAACAGTCAGGCGAACTACAGCGGGTTCCGGAGCATTAGCTATTGTTTGGGAGAGCCAGGAAAATCCGCTAATAACCTTTGAAGAACTTCTCCTCAAGCTCCGCCTTGGTGATCTCAATCTCAACAGTCCGGTCGACCTGCTTCTGATGACGGCGCTTGTGATCGGCGTAGTTCTTGATGGTCGTGGAGAACAGAGTGTTGATGAAGGTGGTCTTTCCCAAGCCAGATTCTCCAGCAACCTATGGTTATCTAATGAGCTTGGTCCCGCTATGAAATTGTGGTTTCATGGTTAACCAACCATAATCGTGAAAGCAGCACCACGCTTAGCGACGATCTTGTGTCTGGACATCTTCGTTAGTACCGGTCATGGCTGGCATTGTTTCGCATGGCATACCGCTGGTTGGGAAGCTATTCATATCGGATTGTCAGTTTCATGTTCTTTCCAGATCAAGAGACAATATTTGCTTATCTTAATACATACGTTGGCAATGCCAATGGGAGAGGCGGTTTCGGTAGAAGACATGATGGTAAGGGGTTGAGCTGGAACTTAATGGAGCGGTACCAGACGAAGTAAATAGAGGATAGCGGGAGAAGGACAACGCTGGCCTAGGACGAATGGGGCGATGGGGCCAACGGGGTAGAAGAGAGAGAAGAATTAAACGAGAGGACGGACGACGAGAAGCGGAGTAGAAATAGGATGAGACAACGACCGTCGGGGGGGAGGGGGGAAGAGTTAGAGGAAGAAAGAGAGAGAGCGAGGGAGGCTTTGGGGATGGAATGGGATGATAGATCGGGAAGTCGTGCCTTCTTCGACTGGTTGCTGCCCCTGAATCCGCCCCCCAAGCAAACAGGATGCAAACAAGCGAGCGTGACTGCGATGATTGAGGGGGAAGAAAGGGAACGGTGCAAGCCTCAGGCTGTCAATTACCCCCATCAGGACTAGCCTGTCAGACCAAGGCCCCGGATGGCGCTAGCACTATTGAAGACTAATGTGGTCGGGGTCGGAGGAACCGTCGATCCGTTCCTTATCGTCCGTTTTGGGCAGGCCGATTTTTTTGAAGATCGACCGATGAATTAAAGACTAGAGGAAGGCTTGCTGCGGCGCGAACGGATCCGGTCGGCGACAATGAAGACGGATTTCAAGGTGCGTTGATTGCTCTTACGATTGTTATCTCTGCGAATACAAAAAGCAGTAAAGAGAGGAGCATTGGAACTGACAGCTATATCTAGTTTTCCAACCTACTGGGGACGGTTTATCGCAAAGGTAATCTGCTCTTCACACCCGATGGCAACTCTTTGCTCTCGCCGGTGGGAAACCAGGTCTCGGTTTTCGATCTAGTACAGTATGTGCTTTCGCGCCTTGGGAATATCGGCATTATATACTGATATCATTTTCCTTGTGAAGCAACACTTCTTATACCCTTCCCTTCGCGCATCGCACCAACATCGACCATCTGGCGCTCTCCCCGAATGGAAAACTTCTCTTGACCATTGACGAGAATGGCCGCGCCATCCTGACCAACTTCTTGCGCCGAATTGTCATTCACCACTTCTCTTTCAAAGGCCGTGTCTCCGCTCTCAAGTTCGCCCCATCCGGTCGATTTTTCGCTGTGGGTGTAGGAAGACGGCTGCAGTTCTGGAACACTCCGACTACGCCTGGTACCGACAACAACGGAGAGATTGAGTTTGCGCCTTTTGTTCTACACCGCGACCTCGCCGGTCATTTCGATGTGGTTCAACATCTCGAATGGTCGAGCGACTCCCGCTTCCTGATCACAGCCTCCAAGGATTTGACCGCGCGGATATGGAGTTTGGATCCGGAAGAGGGTTTTGAGCCCACAACGCTGGCTGGCCATCGTCAGGGAGTGAAAGCCGCTTATTTCTCCGCCGACCAAGAATCGGTAAGTTCGGGTATTATTTCGCCCTTGAATGCGCACTAAGCATGGGTAGATTTACACTATCAGTTCCGACGGCGCTGTCTTCCGATGGGAATATGTTACAAAGAAGGATCCGGAGACTATGGAAGATATTGCGGATGCCCGATGGAGGATTGTCAAGAAGGATTTCTTCATGCAGAATGACGCAAAGGTCAACTGCGCTGCTTTCCACGCGCCCACGAATCTTCTGGTTGTTGGGTTCTCCAACGGGTTGTTCGGGCTTTATGACATGCCGGAATTCAATCAGATCCACCAATTGAGGTATGCATATGCGCCTAGACTCTATTAGACAAGACTAACGTCAGTGCAGTGTTTCTCAAAGTAACATCGACTGCGTGACGATCAACAAAACGGGCGAGTGGCTGGCCTTTGGCTCTTCCAAGCATGGACAACTGTTGGTGTGGGAATGGCAATCCGAATCGTACATTCTGAAGCAACAAGGTCACCTTGACTCTATGAACACTCTGACATATTCTCCCGACGGTCAAAGAGTTGTGACTGCAGCCGATGACGGAAAGATCAAGGTCTGGGATGTCAAATCTGGTTTCTGCATTGTGACCTTCACAGAACACACAAGCGCCGTCACGGCATGCGAGTTCTCCAAGAAGGGAAATGTTCTGTTTACAGCGTCATTGGACGGCTCCATCAGAGCTTGGGATCTTATCCGCTACCGAAACTTCCGGACATTTACTGCTCCGACTCGGTTGTCTTTCTCCTCACTCGCAGTCGACCCAAGTGGGGAGGTGGTTTGCGCTGGCTCTCCGGACTCATTCGATATTCATGTTTGGTCCGTACAAACGGGACAACTGCTCGATCAACTTGCCGGCCACGAAGGTCCTGTTTCGGCCCTTTCATTTGCAGCCGACGGTAACCACCTGGTGAGCGGTAGTTGGGATCACACTGTCCGCATCTGGAGCATCTTCGGACGGACGCAGACGAGTGAACCCTTGCAACTACAGGCTGATGTGTTGGATGTGGCTTTCAGACCCGATGGCAAGCAGGTTGCTGCGTCGAGCTTGGACGGACAGTTAACGTTCTGGTCTGTCAACGATGCCGTCCAGATTGGCGGTGTTGACGGCCGTCGTGATGTCTCAGGAGGTCGGAAGACCAGTGACCGACAGACCGCCGCAAACGCCGCAGGAACCAAGTCCTTCCGCTGCATCAAGTACAGCGCGGACGGCAGTTGTATTCTGGCCGCCGGAAACAGCAAGTACATCTGTTTGTATGATGTCGCAACAGGATCGATGGTGAAGAAGTATACTGTGTCGGTCAATACCTCGCTCGAGGGTACTCAGGAAATCCTCAATAGCCGCAATATGACGGAGGCTGGCCCTCGCGAGCTTATCGATGAGGCAGGTGAGGCTTCAGAAGTTGAGGACCGCATTGATCGCAGCCTCCCTGGCGCGAAGCGTGGTGACCCCGGATCTCGGAAAGTCAGACCGGAGGTCCGAGTCACAGGAGTCGACTTTTCACCGGCTGGCCGTTCGTTCTGTGCGGCCTCCACAGAAGGTCTCCTTATCTATAGTTTGGATACCGATGTGGTGTTTGATCCTTATGATCTCGATATCTCGATCACCCCGTCTAGCATTTTGGAGACCCTCGAGGCTGCCAAGCAGGCCGCAGCAACCGGCCAAACGGACGATGACAACACATTCCTTAAGGCGTTCATCATGGCATTCCGTCTGAACGAAAAGAAGCTCATCCGGGCAGTCCATGAAGCCATCCCTCCGGGCGATATTCCCCATGTTGTGCGTGCTGTGCCGACAGTTTACCTCCCTCGCCTCCTTCGCTTCGTCGCCAACGCTGCCGAAGAAACTCCGCACTTGGAGTTCAACTTGTTGTGGATTGAGTCTCTTTTCAGCGCCCATGGTCGCTACTTCAAGGAGAATGCGGGCACTTTCGCACCAGAGCTTCGTGCTGTGCAACGTGTCATCGATGAGATACATAACAGCCTGAAGAGACTGACAGACAAGAATATCTATGATCTCAACTTCCTCCTGGCAAAACCTGTGCTTGCAGGCAAGAAGCAACCCAGTCTTATTCTCGCTGCCCTCAGTGGTGATGCTGAGGCTACCAATGGCGAGGACGAGACCATGGAAGAGGCAGCGGAGGAGGCTGGTGGGGAATGGATGGGCCTTGAATGATTGTATGTCACTGTTTTTGTACCCTGATACTCCTGTCGTTCTTGTTCCCCTCCGGTCATCTGTTTGGCTTCGCATGTGCTCCTGGCGTTGAATCTGTGGTATACTTGGAAAGAGAAAGGGGACAGCAAAAGTTTTAGGAGTCCGATGCTGTGTTTATAGGATATGTAGTACATATACACCGAATAATAAACTTTCAGAATTACCCGGGGGCGTTTGCAGTGAATGTATTCGGTGTGCTTGAAGTGAGCATCCAGTCGCTCTTCGCATTTTCCTTCTCTCTCTCCACCTTCTTACCTCCTAGTACTCTCTTCCATCCACCATAGGCTGTTTATCATCCACCATGTCTTTTCTGAATGACCTTAACGTCTATCTCAACCTGGTTGCGTGGAAGACCTCCCTTGTCTTGCCCATCACACTCGTCGTCTGCTTTTTCTTCCATCGCTATGCCATCGCCCCTTTGACTGATGAACTCGCAAGACTGCCCACAGTCCGATACCGATGGTTCCTCCCCGACGCCCTCAACCGAATCGCGTTCTACTTTTACGGACGCGATCAAATCGCTCAGGGTTACAAAAAGGTATTCCATGTTGCAGCCATCACTTACCCAACGATCCGTACTGATGCATTTTGATATCTCCAGTACAAGGATCGTGCATTCCGGCTCCTTACCACGGACGGTGACTTGGTTGTTTTGCCGCTCAAGTATCTATGGGAGATCGAGCAGTTGCCCATGACCACGCTGAGCGCTACTAGAGCACGACATAAGGTGAGCTGAATACATGCGAGGGGCTGAGAAGATTCGGCTGCTGATTATGTCCCTCTGTTTTCAGATTCTCCTGAGCGAGTACACTGACGTAGTCAGAGGGAGTACAAATGTATCTCGTGCAGTGGCCGAGATGAGCCAGCAGGATCATCGTACGTCTTCTCTATTCTCTATGTCGATCCCCGGAGGTTGACTGGCATTCTTACTCACCTGCATAATAGAGCACATTGCTATGCAGTTCAACGATGAAGTTCACAAGGCGCTCTACGTCGAAGTCCCAAGATGTCAGTGTACGTATCTCGCCTCCACTCCACCTTCACCCTACTCACCTCCACCTCGCTCACCTCCGCCCCAGCCTGAGACTAACACACCAGCCCAGACAAATGGACGCCCGTCAACCTCTACAAACTAGTCCTCAAGCTCATCAGCCGCGCCACCGCCCGCTTCACCGTGGGCGAAGAGCTCTACCTGAACGAGCTCTGGCTCGAAACAGTCCCCAGCTACACAAGCGACAGCCTCACAACCATCATCCTCCTGCGTCCCGTGCCCCAGTTCCTACGAGCGCTCGTCGCCCGACTTCTTCCCAGCCTCCGCCGGGCCCGCGCAAGAGCGCGCTGGGCCCAGACCGAGCTGCTCATCCCCACGATCCGATCGCGCCAACACAAGGAAGTCCACGACAGTGCCTACCAAAAGCCGCAGGACCTCATGCAGCGGATAATGGACACGGCCACGACGAACTTCGACCGCGACCCAGCCAACATCGCCCAGGCGCTGATGTCGACCATCACGATCTCGATCGTCCACCCGCTCACCAACCTCGTCACGCACGCCGTCTACGACGCTCTCACCCAGGGCCAGGGCCAGGGCCAGGGCCAGCAGACCATCGACCCGCTCCGGACTGAAACTGAGAGAACCCTATCCCTCCTCGAGCACGATGACGAATCCGGTCTCATCCTCCGTCCATACCAATGCCTCATGGACAGTTTCCTCCGAGAAGTCCTGCGCTGGAACCCGCTGAGCGAACGTGAGTTACCCCCCACAATCACATCCCACACCTGCACCGCCGAACCAGACCAACCCAGCTAAACCCCCTGGGGAACAGTAAACCCCCGCTACACCCTCCTAAAACCCCACACCTTCACCTTCACCTCCCCCTCCACCACCACCACCACCAACACCAACAGCACCGAACCCCTAACCCTCCCCGCACTCACCCAAATCGCCTTCCCAGCGGGCCCTCTCTCCCGCGACGCCGCCATGATCCCGCACGCCGAGCGCTTCGACCCCTTCCGGTGGACCCGGGACCCCCTCGAGGTCCTCCCCCTGCTCCGCCCGGACACGATCGACCCGCGGCTCCGCAGGGCCGTCGCCTTCGACACCGGACTGGCGGACTCCAGCCCGGTCAATCTGCACTTCGGGTGGGGGAAGGACAAGGACCGCGCCGCTGCGGCGAGGGCGTGTCCCGGCCGACATCTTGCGGCGCGCTTGGCGGCTATGGCGCTGGGTGGTCTGCTTGTGCGGTACGATCTGCGGCTGTTTCCGGGGGAGAGGAGGCGCAGGGCTGCGAATTTGGGGGCGGGGGAGTTGGTCTTTCCCAATCCTGGGGTGAGGGTTTTGGTGAGGGAGAGGGGGAGGGGGGATTGATTTGGAGGTGGGTTGGGGTTTGAGGTGGTGTTTGGGAGTTAAATATGGAAATTGTGGAGGGTTTGCGAGGATGGGAGGAGGGGTAGGTGGGAGTGTGAGACGCTGGACGCACTTTGTCGTCGTCGTGGTTTTGTGGGATATGTGTATTGAGAAGAGGGGAGGTTTATCAACGTAGTTGTGAGGGAGTTGAGGGTCTGCTGGGCTTGGGCAAGTCAATGTCTCCGTTGTCTCCGCTTCGAAGCATGCTTGCTGTACAGTACTCTACTCGGGATGAGGATCTCTGTAAGAAGGCGGCGCAGCCAAAACGCACATTACTATTTCAGAAAGGTATACACCTTACAGGAAGTACTACAAATTCAAACACACCACATCGGGGAATGCGAAGCTATGTATTATCGGGAGACCCAACTTCTAATTGCGAAACATAGTATCTCGACTAAGAATACATCTCCCAAATATACAAGAGTGGGATATCCCTATCTTTCACAAGACTCCTTTGCCTTCCCCTCGAAAATTTACAAGCCACCCACCGGCTCTAATTCCCCTCAACAACAGTCGCGGCTCCTCGCCCACGACCACGACCCCGGAATCCATTACCGCCTCGATCTCCACCACCACCACGTGCACCCCCACGGCCACGGCCACGCTGGTTCAGCGTCTGCGGCGGCGGAACCTGGCTGTAATTCTTGGGCCGGAAATTTGGGTTGATCTTCATGACACCTGCCTCGGGGTCACCGTTGTCGACCGCATGATATCCGCCACGGGTGCGGCCCGCTCCTCCACGACCGGCACCGCCACGGCCTCCACCCCGGCCCCGACCACCGCGAGAGGCGCCGTCGGCGGCCTGGCTGCCGTTGGGCTGAGGGCGGAAAGGTAGGGTCGTCTGAGCGCCCACGCCGTTGGATGCGCCCCGGCCGCCTCGGCCACGACTAGCGAACCCAGCCAGTGCGCCACGGTACGAGTTGCCCAGCGGCGCGGGGGCGGCAGCTTCTCTCAGCTGGCCCTGTCCGGCGGGCCCAGTAGGGGCACCGTAGGCACCAGCAGTCAACGGAGTCGATTGGGTTTGTTGTTGTTGTGCGTCGCCTGCACGAGTCGTGGCGAGGAGCTGTCGGTAGGAGACATTGAGCACAGATGAGGCGAGCACGGTCTGGCCGCGGAAAGGGGAGCAGCGGTCTCCCAGCGTCGTGCCGCTCATGAACGAGACGTCGAAGACGACATCCAGCAAGACGGCCCGCGAGGTCCGGGTGAGTCCCACAACTGTTCCTCGAGTAGCGATAGGCACCTTGCCCGAATCTTGTGCATAGACTACCCGATCGCCAAGCTTGAATGTTTGATTTTGGAGTCGCTGCTCGACGTCAGATGGCCGCAGAAGGGCGCTTCGAGGGACACCGCGGATCTTCTTGGCCTGCATCTGCGGTTGGCTCCGGACAAGCTGATCAGCATCCTGCTCGATCAACTTGACAACATCGGAATCCAGCTGTTCAGCCTCCAGGGGAACGCGCTCGAAATTCTTGGCTTCGATCGATTTGAGCCAGTCCCGGATCTCTTGCATCTTCAGCAAAGCGACCTCTTCGGGGTAGAAATCGGTGGGCGTGTACCGATCATTTTGAGGATTCCGTTGAATTCCTGCAATGAACTCGGGAAAGTTGGTCATGTACTGTACCAGCAAGTCGACGGTTTTCTGGCTGAACTCCCATCCAGAGTCGCCACGGCGCGAATAGCCAAGCACCTTCTGCTTGCGCGCTTCAAATTTGAGGTTCAGACCCAAATTGACCCGCTGACCCTCAATGTCCACGGAAAACGAAGATGTGATCTTGGCCAAGACGAGGGGGTTCAAACGCAGGCTGCGAGCGATGGCATAAGATGGCATGTAAGGGCAGAGTCGCTCGGCATTCTTGGCACGCTCGCGTCCGAACTCGGGCTCCCGACCTTTTACCGCCGCGATCATGCCACTGACTTTGCCGTCTTCGTGTCCAGTAACATGCACCGGACGTCCATAGTTGAATTCTCCCAGGAAAAATGCCCGAGAACCCTCAGGGAATTCCTTCTCAATAGGCAGAGCGTCTCTCTCGATGAACCGTTCGTCGGGGTTGATTACATCGTCCACAATCAACTGCAAGGCGTAGTCGGTTTCCTGTCCACTGATTTCGCCGAATTCTTTGACCGTAGCACCTTGATCAGTCTTGATCAAGCCCTTCAGTAGCTGTACGTGTACCATGGACTCAACCGGGCCGATGATAGTACCAAGTCTCTTGCTATAAGTTCCTTCGATTTTGTCGGCCTTCTTCTTCCATTGCTCGATCTGAGCCGGGGTATGAGGAATAGCGACCACGTGCTGCTCGCCATCTGGGAGAAGATAATCAAAAAGCTCATCCGACACACGAATGACAAGCGCTTCCTGCAAGAACGGATAACCAACGTGAACCCGCTTTCCGAGCTTCTGTTTGGCTAGCTCAGCGCTCGACCTGCTTCCAGGATCAAGCACAGTGATGACCATGCTCTCATTGCGGCTTTCCTGCTGGAACACACAAACTCCGTGGAATCCCAACTGACCCACATGGGGCAGAGTCTTGAGACTAGGGAAACCAGCCAAAGCTGACGCTCCAAGATGTGCTCCCTCCATCAGGCCGATGTAGGGCTCAAGTCCGTCCATGGTAGGCAAATCAAAAACGTTTTCGATACAGTGGCAGTTAGGAATATCAGGGAAAATGCCAGGAAGAGAAGAGGGGTAGGTGAACTGCACATCTGGGGAGTATGTGAACTTCAAACTGGCACCAAAGCCGTTTCTTGCTTTTTCTTCTGGGGTCAGTAGATGTTCCTTCGTGGCCAAAGCAGCCAACAGGCGCTTTTCGTCAATGAATGGGATCTTCACAACTGCCTCCCACTCCATCTTCTTTCCATTCATGTCCAACTCAAAGTCACGGGGATAAAAATCGATAATCGGCGAGTCGGATGAGGTCATCAACTCATGGTAAGCAGTAGGCACAGTCTTCTTGCTTCGATCAGGCAAGACTCCCATCAACTGCTCATAAGGCCTGAATGGCTTGCCAAGTCGGAAGTTCGTGTCGGCCTTCAAACCCTTCTTCACGTCTGCTCCAAATTAGTGGTCGGTAATCAAGTGGGCACATGTCATACTTACCAGAAATCATCGGGGCATAGTGATATCTGAAGAACCAAGGCCAAGACGCAATGCCTCTGTAATAATAGTACAGAACCCATTGGAGACCTTGGACGTAGTTCTCAGTCAACTCCTTCATCTCCTCGTGACTGTCCAGCCCCCAACCAAATTTGCCAACGTAGTACTGGTTCTTCCATTCTTGGAACTTCTCTTCGTACTTCTTCTCAGCTGCTTCTTGAGCTTCTTCGGCCGACAATTCCTGGACCTTCGCATTCTCGTACTTCCGAATAATCCTCTGTACAGCCAAAGTGGCCTCTTCATCGTCCTCCTCTTCACTATCATCATTCTCGTTGGCAGGGAGCTGAACTCGAATGAAGCGGTCGCCCTGCTCATCAGCGACGGTGGTCCAAGGCAGGCGAAGATCGCTCGCCAGCTGCTCTAAAAACTTGCGGTCGCGAGCGGGCAGCGTAGAATTAAAGTCAAGAGGCTTCGTCTCCGACGCTTTCCCAGGTCGGTTCAACACGTACTTCTTCACTTCTTTGAGGAGCTCCTTCTGGGCAGGAGTGATCGTGGGTCCCTTCGGCTTCTCATGTGCCTCGGTGGCGCCAGTCTTCTTCGCTTGTAGCCAACGTGCATCTGAGAACTCGGCTTCAAAAAAGCGATACTCAACACTGCTCAGAGCATCCAAGAGCATGCCTAGCCGCTCCATGTGGATGACGCCTTGTTCATTGATGTAGCCACCCATCTTAGGTAAAATCTCCTTGTAGGTCTTGAACATCAACGCTAAGGCACCCTCGTTGATATGCAAATTGGGTAAATTGGGCAAGAAATCGTTTCCAACAAAGAATGCCATCAAGATAAAGTCGTCGATCACCCTCTCCATATCAAAGGGGAAGTCTAGGATGCCCTCCTGCTCCAACTCCTGAAATTCCAGTTCCAAATATTCTCTGACCATACACAGATGCAATAGATAGAAATTTTGGTGCTCAAGTTCCTTAGGCTTCTTCGAAACCTGGCGGCCAAACGTGACCTCCTCACGGAGAAGGCAGAAATGAGGGTCGTGACTCAGCAGACCCAACATGATCAGATCGGCGTCAAGGCCGTAGAGACAGTGGCGAACATTGGGATCATAATCTGGCTGTGCTTTCGCATGCCGGATGTATTCCATGATTTTGTGCTCACCCTCACCAGGAGTCTCGTGGCCGGAAAGCACAATGTCAACTCCCTGCCAATCCTTGTCCTCCGAAATCTTCTTGCTGATAAAGTATTTCAATTGTTCAGTCAGTTTCGCCATGAACTCGGTTCCCGGGGTGATGCAATTGCTGTCAAAAGGATCTTCCTTGGGCATCTCGATGCCCTGAGCAATCGCCTTGTCCTTGGCTACCTCAGCATCCAGAGCCGTGCGGAAACGTCGCGCACGCTGCTGGTTCATCTTGGCGCGGGGAGCCACGCCATCGACGGCCATGAAAAATAGCTTCTTCGGCTTAATCTTGCCGTACAAATGCTCGATATAGTTAAAAATTGCGATGAACATCTTATCTTCGGTCATGCGGAATGTAGGCGAGTCGCTGTCCTTGTGGGTACAGTTGTGAATGATACCGTTCATGTCCAGGTACAGATTGTCGAACTCGGGAATCCGGTTCTCTGCGATCAGCAGCGAGATGGCGGGATACCGCTCGCTCAGCCAACGGAAGAACTTGGGAACACCCATGGTGAATTATGTGAAGAGAATCTAGCGTAAAAGGTGTAGGTTCTAGAGACGAAGATTATCAAGGAGACAAAAGCTGCCGTTGAGTCGTAGATCGTCGCAGGAGTGGTGGAAGTGGCGGTGGTCGTCAATAATCAATGAAGCTCCAAGCTCGGAGGCGAATCATCCAGCGCACAGCGTAATGGCGGTCGCAGAGAAACGGAAACGACTGGGTATCCTCAAAGAACTATATTGACAGAGAAATTTCGACACAGAAAGGAGAAAATGGAGAATAGGTGAATGTAACGAGGCGAGCAGGCGGCGAAGGCGCCTAATTGGCAAGAGGGGAAGAATGATGTGTTGTAGTGAATGAAGAGCAGAGGCCGATGATGAATGACTCGAACTACAGCTCGGATGAATGCGCCTCAGGCAGACCCGCCTTGGCATCATGTGAGCCTGCCAAGCCCCTTCTTGTTCCATTTTGGGCTTAGCTCCCCGGGCAGTCATTAACGCGCCCTCAACGGCAAAGTCGCGTTTCGCCCAGTGCGAACAGGAAGCTCGCTCTTTGCTCTGCTCTGCTCTGCCCTGCTGCTCAACACTCCACCTTCTCCGAGTCCCAACCTTCCAACCGGGTATTCATCTTCCATTTGTCTTACATTACTCGCAATATAGCTCCTGCAATCCGCATCTATACATACATATAATCTTCGGTAGACAAAAGCCATGGAACCTTACGACGAAAGTAGGAAACCCTCTGCGAGATGTGTTGCGCGAGCAACTTTTCTAACTCTCACCCACAATAGCTTTCGTTGAGGAGCAGGAGGAACAAGAGGAGGAGCGCACTGAGGAGAAGATCATCAATGAAGGTATGAATCACCTCTAGCTCTGGCTGGAACGGCAAGCAATTGGAAGACTAAGTGTTACATCAGAGTACAAGACATGGAAGAAGAACGCCCCATTTCTCTACGACATGATTCTTAGCACGGCACTGGAATGGCCTACACTTACAACGCAATGGCTACCTGATAAGCAAGAGTATGCGCATAAATCCGTGTTGAGCTTCTACCCATGCTAACACAAGTCAGGGTTCCTGATAAGCCTTATTCCACTCACCGTTTACTCATCGGCACTCACACATCGAGCGATGCGCAAAACTACTTGCAAATTGCCCATGTACAGCTTCCTAATCCTACTGCGCCCAACCCGGATGACTACGATGAGGATCGGGGCGAGATCGGCGGGTACGGCGGCAGCTCCAAGAAAGCGCCCATGGAGATCAAATTCAATATCGTGCAGAAGATTGACCACAAGGGTGAAGTCAACAAAGCTCGCTACCAACCGCAGAATCCCAACATCATTGCAACAATGTGTACGGACGGACGGGTGATGATCTGGGATCGCTCGAAGCACCCTAGTCTGCCCACCGGAACGGTTAACCCTCAGATGGAGCTGCTAGGCCATACGCGAGAAGGTTTCGGACTTAGCTGGAGCCCCCATACTGCCGGTCACCTTGTCACGGGCAGTGAGGACAAGACTGTTCGTCTTTGGTAAGACCGATACTCTCATTGACTCCCAATTAGTGTTCGGCTACTAATCACGGTGTCAGGGATCTGACGACATACACTAAGGGCAATAAGGCTCTAAAGCCGGTGCGGACCTACACGCACCACTCTTCTATTGTCAATGACGTGCAATATCACCCTCTGCACTCTTCCCTGATCGGAACGGTCTCCGATGATATCACCCTTCAAATCATCGATATTCGTGAAGCCGAGACGAACCGCGCGGCCGCTTCCGCAGAGGGTCAGCACCGCGATGCCATTAACGCTATTGCATTCAATCCTGCTGCCGAGACCGTCCTGGCGACTGGATCGGCTGATAAGTCCATCGGACTGTGGGATCTGCGTAACTTGAAAACCAAGTTGCACGCCCTGGAATGCCACAATGACTCTGTGACCTCCCTCTCTTGGCACCCCTTCGAAGAATCCGTCCTTGCCAGTGCAAGCTATGACCGTAAGATCATGTTTTGGGATCTCAGCCGGGCTGGAGAGGAGCAGACCCCTGAAGATGCACAGGATGGACCACCAGAGCTGTAAGTTTAATGTTGCCCAGACCATGGGATGAAATACGCCTGCTAACCAGATACGCTTCAGTCTCTTTATGCACGGTGGCCACACCAACCGCATTTCCGATTTCAGCTGGAACCTCAACGATCCTTGGGTTCTCTGCTCTGCTGCTGAGGACAATCTTCTGCAAGTGTGGAAGGTGGCCGATGCGATTGTGGGCAAGGATCTGGAGGACGTGCCGACTGAAGAACTGGAGCCATGAATTTGACTTCGCTTAGAACAAAAACCGGAAGCCTACATTATTGATACCTACCTTGAGCGGTTGTCTTGCTTCTTGTATTGCTACACGCGTCTCACGGATACAGTCAAGCGGAGTTTCAAATCAGGGAGCGCCCTTGTAGTAGATGACCCTGTCGCTGGTGTGCCTTACCATTTTATTCTGATGCCTTATGTAACAATGACAAAACTGCATGAAAAGAACATCTTGGGCATGTTCAGAATCAAAATCGATAACAGGGTGTAGAGAGCAAGCATCCCAATTTGCACTAACAGTCCACCAGGGGAGACAGTGCTGGCTTCTATGAACAATCTTTTAAAACCTATGCCATTAATGGCAATGCATGTAATCTCGCCATGTTGTCCTCACGATAAGCATCTCGACGGCAGTCCGACCGTCGGCACCGATAAGCCAGGGCAGCTCGTGCGCAGCAGGTTATGAGTGCTAACAATGCGCCGAAGATGCTGGTGCAGATCATGCGGGGTAGGGGGCGTGCAGCTGCCAAGCAATTGTCGGCGGGCCACCCTCTTGAGACTTTTGATGAGTAGATATGCTTCGAGTACTATCGATATTGATTATCTTGGCTTCTCCGGTAGATATTCCTCTAAGCTGCGGATCTCACCTGTTTGATATCAGGAAATTAGTCTTGTCGCAGTCCGGAGTTCGGGGCATCGGAGAATGGTGAATGGTGAAATCAGTCTGGAATGAGCTAATCCACACTAGCGGCGAGTTCCCCTCGTGTCAGCCCGCGCATTGAGCTGAGTGATTGGTCAGTAGTGCGGGCGGTGAGGGCGGACACCTGAGATCGGAGAGGGGCCATTTCGCTCCGAAAAGGTAACGCCCTTCAGCGCGGCGAGCCTTAATTTTTTCCTTTTCTCATCCTTCATCGGAGTAAAAAAAATACAAGAAGTTCATTAATTGTAAGTCTGTCTTGCTGTGTGTCGAAATTGGTGAACTTCGCTTGCGCTCTTCATCACCATCGATCAGGGACGTGTTGCCCATAGCAAAGCTCCTCCACACATATACCTCCATTACCCCCTCATACATCCCACTCCCACCACTTCTCCCCTCCCTCTGGTTTGAGTCATGGCCTCCGGAACCTCCCCTCCCCACGGCCCCAAGCCCAAGTCCGCCATTCCCTCCCACATGCTGAACGGCGGTTCTCCCCTTCATCTGTCTCTGGGCTCCCGCGATGCTCGTGAGCGCGAAAGTCTCAACTCCTCCATTCGTTCGTCCTTCACTCCCCGCGTTCCTGTGGAATTCGCCGACTTGCCTGAAAACATCCGCCCTGTCGGAGATTCCAGTCAGTACCAGGACGATACTCCTTCCGGCTCTGTCGTCGCCAGGTAGGCCATCTATCCATTTGTTTGCGGCCATTCTCTTGCTGATAGGTCGCAGGCCTACCCTGAGGGATCCTGCTCGTGATGCCAGGGATGAGGCCGGTGCCTTGACCCCGCCTGCCAATGAAAGCCGACCAGCCAGCCCTTACACCCTTTTCCCTCCCATTGACTTTGATGGATTGAGCTGGCCTTGTGAGTATTGATGTATCCATCAGGGAGGAGTCTTTCTAATCCACTTCTGCTGTAGGCCCCGGTACCCGGGCGCGCCTGGAGTCAACCCCCGAGGAGAACGAAGAGCGCATCAAGAAGCTGGCCGGTGCTGTGAGAACTATTCTGGAATGCGTCGGAGAGGACCCGGAGAGAGAAGGACTGCGGGAGACGCCCGAGAGATACGCCAAGGCTATGCTTTACTTCACAAAGGGATACGAGGAGAACGTTCGGGATCTCGTCAACGGTGCTGTTTTCCATGAGGATCACGATGAGCTGGTTATCGTCAAGGATATCGAGGTGTTCTCGCTGTGCGAGCACCACATGGTTCCCTTCATGGGCAAGGTATGATGATCGACCACCAAAGTGCACAAAAGTCGCAATGCTGACTAGGATCCCGAACAGATGCACATTGGCTACATCCCCGACCGTCGCGTGCTTGGTCTCTCTAAGCTGGCTCGTCTGGCAGAGATGTTCTCCCGTCGTCTACAAGTGCAAGAACGTCTGACCAAACAGGTTGCTTTGGCCATCTCCGAGGTCCTCAAGCCCCGCGGTGTCGGAGTTGTCATGGAATCCGCCCATCTATGCATGGTCATGCGTGGCGTGCAGAAGACTAGCAGCACCACGACCACTAGCTGCATGCTAGGCTGCATGCGTTCCAGCGCCAAAACTCGCGAGGAGTTCCTCAACCTCTTGAACCGAAGATAATGTCTCTTATGCCCTCTCAGCTTTCCTTTATGACGCACTTGTTACCCCTCTCGTTTTAACACTGGATGGTTTCATGATTTAAGGAGTTACGGCGGTTTATACCTTTCAACAGGTCATTCATTGGGTTTCCGTGTTGGCATTCTTTCTTTTGGTGATTGTGGCACGGAAGAGTCGCATGTTGCCTTTCACTTTTGCATAGATTCTTGGCATCGTCACGACGACTGACCAGGAAGAAGCCACATTTCTCCCAACGCTCTTGCCATCGCTTTTGGGGATTTTGTGCAAAACATTCGATAAACAAACAACAAGATTACACGCTGCTCCCTCAACATTCTGCAGCGCGGAGAACCTCGTGGGGGTGTGATTTGGATGATTCAACATATTTTACTAATATCTTCTCAACCTGATATCAGGACATTACGGTACGGCTGGGGTGGTCAAATTCGGAGAACGGCGAACAAACGATCGAAAATTTTCATGTACATTGGAAGTCGAATGCATCTGATCAAATGTATTTATTTTGAAATGGTCGATTTGGATAGTGCCTTTTGGTTACTTCATGAAAAGGACATCTCATGAGCTTCTTCCAAGCTTTAGGTGACATCTCATTGGCCTCAAAAACACCGTAAGCTTGACTTCAAGGCTATGTCTCTTTTTTGTGGACATGCTCGGGTCTGTCTGTAGACATAGTTTTGCAGGCTAGCTAGTTACTTTTATCGTTCTTTTTCCTTGTAAACACCCACCAAATGCTGTCCGACCCTGTGAAAGTCCGATGATCAAGTTCCCTGGTCAGCTTGTTCTTAAGTGCTCGGACATCGGCGCAAGTCCGTATACATTTCGACAGTTACCACACACCTCCGCCATATCTGTGTATCCCTGTTTAGGACAGCCTGTAGAAGTAACACACAATTCCTATATCTAATCAAGATCCGAGATCCGAACTATAGGGATACTGAATAATTGAGAAGACTGAAACTGAAGGAAACTATCATGAATGCTCCGCATTATAAGGAGCAACCTCACCAGTGAATGAGCATGCCTAATTGGTGTGGCTTTGCCTACATTCGGTCTCACTCTGAGTCTCGCAGTGAATGATTGACTGTAGTGAATTTTGCATCAGCAGGCTGGCCTGGGTGGGGTATATCAGTTGCTATGGTGTTCGTTTCTCCTTCATCTCTCACCATCCATGAACAACTCATCTTCCTCTTCCCACTTTCTATCCATCATTTCTGCGATTATCATCCAAGCAAGTGTGAAAAGCCTCAACGCACATCTGTCTTAATCCTGCGGCTGCTTGATAAGAATCCTCCATCTGCCCTGACTCGATTTGAAGCGAGGTAAGTGTCTTGTTGAGTGAGAATTATATTCTTTCTCCAACATATGTTGGCACAACACTGACTTTGTTCACAATTAGACATAAGACGTTCTACGGCCTTCCTGCTGACAGCATCAGAAAAGCAACACCTCGCTGTCATCATGGCAAGGGCGTATACCCCCGACGAGCTGGCAGCCGCCGAAGGCTTGCTTCTTCTGTGGGCGAGCCGAAGCGTCACAGCCACCCCACGCGACGTCCAGGGAGCTGCGAGCAATAATCACGGGGTGAACAGCCATGAAGATACCGAGCACAGTCAGCAGCATGACGATATGCAGACTATGCGCAGCCACGATGTGGATATGCCGCCACCCTCTCCCCCACAGAGTCGACCTCGTCCTCCTGTGAGCGCTGCTCATAGACTCGAGCCAATCGGTACCTCTAATAATCGAGTGATCAACCCTCCTATTCCAGTGGTCTTGTTTCATCAACAGCCTCATCTAAGCATAGCTCGTACTGCCACGCAGGACAGCATTCCTGGGCTGCGAGCAAACATCCCCCCGTTCCACGAAGAGGGCTCCCCGCAGTATGCTCACGACCAGGAACAGCGTCAGATCACACGCTTGATGATTCTGCGCCATGTTATGAACAACAGACCCCCTGGCAGAGCCGAAATTGCGCGGCAGAACATCATGCAGCGCTTCCCACCGCGTGGCAGCCGCCTGGATCGCGAGCAGACATCCCGGCTCGGTAGAGTCCCAGGTGCTGCTCGAGACCGCGCGAATCGCTTGCCTCCACGCTTCTTGCCTGCGAGAAACCCCAGACCCGCTGACTCGCGCCATGTATCGTCAGGCAGCCGCAATCCGGGACACAATGAATCAACTCAACATGACGTGCAGACCAACACCGCCCCTCATGATGCCTCGGGTCGAACCGCCAATTCAACCACCGATGTTAATGGCTCAGCTGCAGTCTCTTCTCATCAAGAGCAAAGCACCGCAGACTCCCAGCCTGGTATGTCGCTGCAGAAGTATCTGATCCGGCAGCAGATGATCGCGGGCGTACAGCCAGAGGAGATCGCACCCATCCGTCCTCAGGCGATGGTGAACAACCCTTCAGCTCCTGTTGTATTGCAGATCAGAAACGACGCTGTCGCCGTGCCTAGGATCCCACCTGCGCAGTTCAGCGGACCACTGCAGCCTCTCCGGATCGTGCCACGCGGGGGTTCTGGATCTGTTAAGGGACCGGTGACCAGGGACACTGCACTACACAGTCATCCTGTGAACCAGGACCCCGAGCCTAAGTCTGAAGACGACAAGTCTGCGGCTGCCAACAATGAACCTCAACCTCAACCTCAGACCCCGCAGCGTCCAGCAAATTCTCGCTATCTCACACGCTCTGTCACACGGCGTACCCGATACCAGAACAGCCTGGCCACCTCTACGCCTGAGTCTCAAGCACCAGCATCAGCGGTGGTCAAATCCGAGAATGACACCAACCCAGCCGCTCATCCACCCCGTCTCCAGCCCAACATCTCAGCCCCAGATAGCAACAACAACAACACCAACACCAACATACTCTGGGCCCAAGAACAAACCACAGAGGAAGCGCCCCGCCGCCCCTCCAAAAACGCCCTCACCATCCCGCACAACAACTTCGACCTCCTAGCCGCCCTCTCTACCCACCCCGAACTCACCGTAATGATCACCGACCTCCTGCACCCAGAGGACATCCTAACCCTCCTCACCACCTCGCGCCCCCTCCACCAAACCCTGCACCACAACCTCCCCACAATCACAACCCACCACCTCCACCACCTCAACGCCACCACCCACCCACCAAACATATCAGACACCTTCCCCCTCATCTGCTACCCACGCCTCTACACCCAACCCCAACCCCAACCCCCGACCCCCAAAATAACCTACCTCCTAATGCTCACCTCGCGCACCACCACCATCAACCGCATCCTCACCACCCTCCAGACAGCCCACATCTTCCTCCCCGCCGGCACGGCCCTCGTCCTCCGCAAGATCTGGTTCCTGATGGACGTCCCCGACAACCACCGGCGGGAGTGGACGGTCCGCAACCGCAATCTGTGGTCGGATCTAGATC